AGCAGGGGCTGTGGGGTCTCCTGGCAGAGTCTCCCTGCAGAGCCTCTGCTCCCCGCTCCCCATCCCCCCGCCCAGCCCTGCCCCTGATGGCTGCCCTGCCCTGCCCTGGCCCAGCCCCCCGGGATTTGAAAAAAAAAAAAAAAGCCCTGCACTCACTGGCTCTGGCAGTGGCAGTCAGAGCCTCTGAGGGCTCATGGCAGAGTCACTCGCCTGGCATCTGCGTTGCACTTGTTGCACTGTGCATGTGCAGCATGGCTCAGCAGGGTGCCGCACACTGTCCGGGAGCTGGGGCAGCTTCATGTGTCAGCCAGAGCTTGGCACTGCTGAGCCCCAGTGGCCCCAGCTCTTGGGCAGCACGTGGAGCCCTGCCAAGCTGCGCTGCACCCACACCATGGAGCAGCTGCTGCGTGGATGCCAGGGGGGGGGGGGGGGGGGAGCCCCACTCCGTGCTGTGCGGGGGGGCCCTGCCATGAGCTTCCAGAGGCCCCAATCACTGTTGCTAGAGCCGGTGAGTGTGGGGCTTTTTTTTTTTTTTAAGTGCTGGGAGGCTGGGGCTGATGGGGGATGGGGCCAGGCCTGGGCGGCCAGGCTGTGGCTCCCCCCACCCAGGGAGAGGCAGGCACAGCCAGAGGAGCCACGGGAGAACCTCCAGCCGCCCAGCTGTGCCTGCCTCTCCCCAGCCGATCCGAATCACAGAATCTTTCCGAATCAGTGCTGAATCTTCCAAAGCTGATTCTGCCGAATCGATTCAGGACAGTGATCCAAATCTCCGAATCGAATCACTGTCCTCTGAATTGGCTGAATCTGAATCTGAATCGAATACTTCCCTATTCACACGGGCCCAGTAAGCATCTCGGGTAGATGTGGCCACAGGATCTGTAACTGCTAGATTCCAGCTTCTCCATGATCATTTTCTGTACCTGTTTAATAGTTATGATCTTTTTATAACCATTCAGTAGTTAAGACCTGTTTGATATTGGCTATCCATTGTCTTAGCAACTTGTTGACATATGGCCAAAAAGTAGTTAGTGTATTCAGGGTTAATATAGAAACCATTCAGAACTCCAGCTAACCAAGCTCTCAGTTAGTTTATGCATAAAATACAAAAACTACACTTAAGAAAGACCTATTACCGCCTTAGAGAGCAGGTCATGCTGGTACTTTATGTAAGAGATCTGCCACAAAATGAATGTCTACCTGATTTTAGTAATCAGATCAGCAGAAGTTTGCAGGACTTTTCTAAACTGCTTTATTTAGTTATAATCAGAATTCCCCCCAAAATATGGTGGATTTTTTTTAATTGTAATATTTTCAAAATGCAAAGTTTGGGTTTTTGTTTCAGTATTTTTGTTTTGCCATTGAAAAGAAACAAGATTAAAGAACAAAAAAATGGAATAAAATATGTCATTTCATGTTGAGCACAATATTTCAGGAAACTGATTAAAGAAACAAAACTCCATTATTTTCACAGCACTGTTCGGGATCTGCTAAATACAGATATACTTCGCCCTCTAGTTTTCATTTGAGATATTACAAAATAATTGCTGTTCTGAGATGCATTTTTAAGTTGCTCATAACTACTTGTTTCTGCCATTCCCCCAAAATACTGAATAATTCCTTTTTTCTTTTCCTTCCCGCAACATTTTCTTCCCCTGCTTTAGCATTTTTACTAAGTCACCAGCACTACCAGCCACCCTAATGACACCAATATAGGCACACTGCACCTCTGGTCCCTTCTCGTCTCCAGTTATAACCCCTGGAGCTTGGGCAGTTACATCTCTTGTGCAGAAATGCTTAATTCTCTGACAATGACCCCAAGCCTTGGCTGCTCCAGGGGACTGGAGGAGTGAACTGTAATGTCCACTACAATTCCCAGAAGGCTACAGGAGATGGGTGGAAGCAGAAAAGCAGTGATGAAGCATGGGATGCCACAGTTGAAAGCAATGCATGGCCAGAGGCTCAGAAGGAGCAGCAGAGTGAGGACTCAGGTGTGGGAGCCCTGGCAGGTGACAGTTAAGCACTTTTGTAACCAGAGGCTGGTTGGTAGTCTCTCCAGAGTTGTAGAAGGGTTTAAGTTTTCTCAGGTGTATAGAGTTCCCTGCATGTTACCTGTTATGGGGTGATTTCACTACAGTGTTACTGTTTATTATCTGTTACCTGGATCATAAGTGTATGTACCTTAATGTTAATGTTTATTCATCTGTATCTGTCCCTTTTCCCCTTGCCCATTGGCTTGTGACCCTAATCCCCAGCATCTCCTATATAGAAGTGGGAACTTCCCTTGCCAGCTCCCTGTGCCAGATCCTGAGGTTCGGCATGGTAAAGTGGAACCTACATGCAGCTTGTTCTGTTCTGTGCCGCTGCATGTTTATATAGGTTGTTGACCCTCCAGCATCCCAAGGTAAAGTGTTTGTTTCTCCCCATGCCCTTCTATCACTCTGACTACTGCTCCTGTCTACCACGTTCCCCCCACACTTTCCTGGCAGTCCCCACGTGCTGGGGCTTATGGCACTTAAAGAGTTCCTCAGGGATCTGTTGCTGAGGGTGCCACTACTGCTTACGTTAGTGTGCTTGGGCTGGGGCTCCTGACACTTGGGGCATTCTGGGCCCTGGGCCTCTCAGCTATCTGGACACCACTGTTTCTTGCATTCTGGGTGTTCCAGGCATCTACATGACTTACACGGCTTAATTATTCCTACACCTCTTCTCCTGCCTGGGGACATAGTGCATAGTGCCCTATGCACTATGTCCCCAGGCAGTTCAAATTCACAGCTAAATGCAGCCAGGTGAAACAGCTTCATGTCTCCACAGTCAGCTGTTGCTAGCTGCACATGGATAGCAATATTCTGTCAGGGGTCTATTGCTGTGTAGAACACTGTGCAACTAGAAAAATGGAGTCACATTCAGAGCATGACTACAAGATAGGGGCTATGGCCTCTGGGAGGGTTTGGGAGGAAGAGAAGACATGCACCAGGAACCAGAGAAATTAGCTATGCTTAGGTTTAGGTTAGCTTTAGTGAGTGTTTGTGTGGATAGGGGCTAAATTAGGGACTAAAGGGGCATCTGTGAAAGGCAGGGAGGGAGTAGGGACAGGGTGTGCATAGCCAGGTAGGAGCAGGAAATTGGGAGGGAGCTCTGAGAGCAACCAGAAGAGGGGTTGAAATCCTGAGGGAGGTAGGAAGGGAGGGTCTCTGGCCAGGGTAGTGGGGAGGCGTATTATCCCAAGGCTGTGGTGCACCACTGCAGCGCTCTGTAATCCTCCCTTGTGTGCGCCAGGTACTGAGCCGTGAACCCTGTGCCTAAGACAGAACCTGAGGCAGATGCCACAGCCAGGCTCTTGATGTCCCAACTTCATCTTCCAGTTCTCCTTTCAGAGACATCAACTCCCAAGAACCCTATTGGCCTCACTGGTGGAGACTGACACACAGTTAGGAAACTCCTGGTCAAATCTCCCTATTGCTGACAGTCATCTGTCCATGGAGGCAGATTCTGTCAAGCATTGTTTGGCAAGAGTGGTAATGCATAAGGGTGCCTTATGCTGCTTGGAAACAGGCATTTTCCCCGCTGCAGCTGCTGTGCACAGATCTGTTTTGTGACCTGCCTGCTAGCGCTGTATAGATGAGCAAGCCTTGCTTTCCATCAGACACTTCCATGGCTGAGGGAAACAGGGTGTTGCAATTTGCACTCTCACCTTCAGTATGTTTCCAGAGACTCCTGTTGAAACTGCTTTTCTCAGACCTGCTCCTCCTTCAGCTGTTGGGGTTACCAGGCTTGCTCATGTAGACAGCATGCCCCCTACAGCTCTCTTCCTTATGACTTCCTGGGGAGCCTGCCTTTATGGATATTGCAAACCTCTTGTGGGTATGCAGGCACATAACTGGGTCTGGACCCCTGCCACATGCCGACAGCTGGGAAAAAATAATCGAATGATTCCAAAATGGTAGAAGTCTAATTTTTTTTTCCAGGGCACATTTAGATGCCCAGGCAAGCTATCAGAATGCCATCTTGAGATTTTCATCTTTAAATAGGCAATAGTCCCACAAACACCTTTGTGATGTTGGTTATTTGATTTTGTTCCAGCTTTATCTCACCAAAGAGGATGCAAATTATGCCATTCACATTGCCAAGATCATGATAGAGCCTTCTAAAGGTGAGAACATCAATTATACAGTATTAAAAGAGAAACTTTCTTCTGTCTACACGCTGGCCTGAGACCCTCCCTTCCTACCTCCCTCAGGACTTCTACCCCTCTTCTAGTTGCTCTCAGAGCTCCCTCCCAATTTCGTGCCTTGGGACAGCTAGACATTCCTGTCATTGTCCCTTAGAATAGAGACATTCCTTATTCATAACTCTAGTTGGGTTTTATTAGAGGAAATGCCCATAGTCTCCAGGAACCTGAAATAATAAATAGGGATAGATTTACTCTATTATTGTATAGGCCACAAGTGGCTAACCTGTGGCAATTGAGACACAAGTGACATGAGCTGCCTTTGTGTGTGGTATGTGGCAGATTGGAATGGGCACAGGGAGGACCGTGGTATACAGGGCAGGGAGCAGAGTAACAGATTAGGCAGGCAAAGGAGACTGGAGTGATACTCAGAGGGAAGGTGTGGGGTTTACCTTACAGCATGTCTGAAAGGTTGCCCCCCTCCCCAAGTACAAAGGTGCAGTTAGATGCAAAGGTACCATCTACAGCAAAATATGTGGCTGCATTAAAAAAAGGCTTGCTACTTTTGTCAATTGATTAAAAAGAAACAAACTCGACTTACCTTTTGACCATTATAAACCCAGTATTGTACACACTAAGTACCACACAAATTGCTGATTACATGTGCAGTTCCTTATGGCATTACTGTGTAGGTAAGAACAGGATGATGCTGCCACCTGGCCCAAGTTGTTGTAGTACATTGGATTTAACCTACAGTTAGAAGTCCAAGCTCTCCATATTTTACTAATAATTTACCAATATGAGCATTAAACTTGAGGTTGTCTCCTATAAAAGTAAGATCAAGTGGCAAAAGGAGAAGTTTAGCTGAGTTACCTGAAGTCTGACAAAATCTAGATGGAGACATCCAGGTAGAAGTACTGACCCATGTCCTCAGTGGATTTGAACTGGTAGAGCCTTACTGAAATAATAGTGCTTTTAGGTGGTTGATAAGTTGGCTCAGGACTATCCAGCTCACAGCCCACAGCTCATGGGGGGTTAACATCCAGCCTGCAATGCTGGGAGAGCTGCCAGGGTGGAATATCTGTGCAGCATGGTGCAATGGGAGAACCTACAGGGAGCTGAAGACAAGGCAGGGCGCTGTGCCACATGGGTCGGGGTGCCCACCCTCTCCACATGTGCTGTGCAGCCTGGGGGGCCAGTGGCCCCAGTTAGTGCAGCCCACATAGTATGCAGCTCTCAGGCACTTTGAAGTTGTACAATTCTGATGCGGCCAATAAGTAAATACCTGATAATACACATCTGCAACAAGGTTACAGAGGTGAACATGTCTGCACAAATTGCCCCAGTTGTTGAAGGTATATGAATGAGGTCTGAACAACCCTGCATCATGCTGACTTTCTTAAAAGACTGTTACACCAGCAACCAACATGGGGATTTTATCAAAGGTGCCAGTGACTCTGGAAGAGAGTGGGAAAAGAAACAAACATTGCAAAACTAAGCCCTGATGATAATGGAGTTCTGCTAATTTCAAGTCAACCAATTAAAACTTCAGACATGATGTGCTATCTTTGCTCCTTGCCTTTTTTTGTTTTTGTAGAGACCCTCTGATATTTTATGAGCCAGGAGTCACAGATGAATTGCCAAAGAACCAGAGAGACCAGACAACACTGGAAACAGAGGAGGGAATGAGAACAAGTTATATCAAGATAAGACATGAGGAGACAACACAGAGGCAATACTAAGTAGCACTCTTATGGCTTTTGCAAGTCATCAGTGGATGCATCTAAATGTAAGTGATAAACTCCAGAGCATTTTAAGCTGGAGTCCACTGCTTCCGGGCACAGCATTTACATGTGTGCCTGGGACAGCAGCAGTTTGTGCCGAGGCACCCAGGCTGTCAGCAGGCTCAGGGGGTCAGCCCTGGGCTCCAGGTGATGGCATCAGGTAGTGAAGGGGCTGCCTGGGGCACGAGAGTGCTGAACATGTGGAGCCATGTGGCGAGGTGGCAAGCAGAGGTCTAGTCCCCTGCTGCCTGGGCTGACCAGGTGCAATTTCCATCCACAGTCACCATCTACATGAGCGTTTCATAGATTTCATAGATTTCATAGACATCAGGGCTGGAAGGGACCTCGGAAGATCATCGAGTCCAGCCCCCCGCCCAAAGGGCAGGAAGTCAGCTGGGGTCATAGGATCCCAGCAAGATAAGCATTCAGTTTCATCTTGAAGGTGTTCAATGAAGGCGCTTGAACCACCTCCGGTGGCAGGCTGTTCCAGACCTTGGGGGCTCGGACAGTAAAGAAGTTCTTCCTTATGTCCAGCCTGAAATGATCTTGAAGTAGTTTGTGACCATTCGACCTCGTCATCCCTTGGGGCGCTCTGGTGAACAAACGTTCCCCCAGATACTGGTGGTCACCCCTACTTGTAGGTGGCCATCAGATCACCCCTGAGCCTGCGCTTTTTCAGGCTAAAGAGCCCCAGGGCTCTCAGCCTGTCATCGTAGGGTCTGCTTCCCTGACCTCTGATCATGCGCGTGGCTCTTCTCTGGACTCTCTCAAGCTTCTCCACATCCTTTTTGAATTGTGGAGCCCAAAACTGGACACAGTACTCCAGCTGTGGCCTCACTAAGGCCGAGTACAGGGGGAGAATGACGGCCCGGGATTTGCTTGAGAAGCATCTATGGATGCAAGCCAG